AGGTTGGGGCTGTGTCCTCTTTGTATAGATCACTCATTCACCTATTGATAATTGAACACCTACTGTATGCCAGACCCTGTTCTAGACACGGATGAGGTATCTGTTCTCATGGACTTATCTTCCAGAAGGTCCCTTAACAGAGGGCTGCATTGCAGGCCATTGCAGTTTCTAGGAATCAGAAACCCAAGGCCTCATGTTAGTATTGCGTCCTATTATATCGAGCTCATCCTTCTCAGAGCTCATCATTCCATAGTGTAACATTAGTAGTTTGGAATACTTTTTTAAATAAGACATTGAAATTTACAGCCCTTCACATAACTACAGCGGCTGTTTATTCATTTCATGGTATGTGCTATAATGAGTGGTTTGTGTGTATTAAACCATTAAATCCCCATAACATCACACAGGGAACACAAACCTCAGAGAAGTTAAATAACTCACTTGAGGTTGCACAACTAATGAGGAGAAGAGCTGGGTTTTGAACAGAGAGAACCTGGCTCCAAGTTTAATATTTTAACCCCTTTGCTGTGCTCTCTCCTGTCATATTTGAAGATGCCTTTCCAGACTCAGGATATGAACTTTGAGGGGTTTTCCTAATAAAATTATTAGCACTTAACATTTGTATAAGACCTTAAAGTCTCTAAGCCCATGGATAGATTTTTGTAGGGTGAGTAAGAACTGAATCCTTAATGTGAACTGGGTTCCCCCCACCAAAAAAAAAAAAAAAAAAAAGATACTAATTTGACTAGGAAGAAAAACCTTCCAGTGTAACTATTGTTTACTAAAGGATTTTAGCCCTCATGGGTTTTGGCTAAGCAAAACCTTGTTACTATGGGAGGCTGAGGCAGGTGGATTGCAAGTTGGAGACCAGCCTTAGCAGTTTAGCGAGCCCGTCTCAAAATAAAGTTAAAAGGGCTGGAGATGTAGGTCTGTGGCAAAGTGCCCCTGGTTCAATCCCTATTACCAAAGGAGGATTGTATAAAAAGTATAAGATCATGAGAGTTCTGACTCAGTAAAACAGCTCTCTGCTCTCTAACCATTTCTACCCCTGGCTGCTGCTCTTCCCACCAGGATTTCCTAAATACATATACTTTTCTGCAGATTGTTGACCTGTCTTTTAAGTATTGTTTTATTGGAAAAAATATATAGCAGTAATATTTTTTAAAGTTTGGGTGAAAAAGAGCCCTTGCCACATCATTCTTGCTAGAGGCTCTCAGCTTGGTTGTGCATTAGAATTGCATGGGGAGCTATTTAAAATACTGACTCCTGGGTGGCCTCCGTTATACTATTGTTCTGGTATTGCTATTCTTAGTTTTGCTTATTACCTTCTAGTCTTTGTCTAATATATATATTTTACCTCTTTGCACAAGCCATGTTTGAAAAAAAAAAAGTCAATCTACTTTTTAGTTTAAAAAAAAATTCTCTCTATCCAAGAAAAACTTCACACATAAACCATTTGGAAGTAAGAAGTAGATTTTTTTTTTTCCATTTAAAAATGTCTTTTCTAATTCTAGAAGTAAGATGTGTCCATTATAGAAAATTTGGAAAAGAGGCAAATTTTTGTACTTCTAAAATAAACTGATTTCTAAAGAAGCAGCATGTGAACCACACAGCAAGGGATTCTGGGCAGATATGAAGTGGCCCTCCCTCATGGCAAAGCTGCTGAGACTGTGGAAGGATTGACAAGAGACTAGGGTGACCTGTCCTCTGGATGAAGTCCAAAGTCCCTGGACAGGGCTCTCTCTGTTCGTGTTCAATCCTTCTACATAGAAGCAGTGGTTCCCGAAAACCTGGTGGGAACTTTGAGGTCAGAAGAGTGCTGTGGTCCAGTGTGGGCTTTAGTGAAGCTGTCTGTGAATTTCCTCCCTGTGGGCTTCTGCAGCTCCACTGTGTCAGAGATAGGAGAGCAGAAGTGGGTGTGTTAGTCATCTAAACTGCTCGTTTCACCCCTCTCCTTACTCTGTATGCAGTGGTCTAACGCCCCCCAAACGCAGTCGTGGGAAGCCAGCCCTGTCTCGAGTGCCCTTCCTGGAAGGTGTGAACGGAGACACCGACTACAGTGGTTCAGGTGAGGAGTGGTGTCGAGGCAGTGCTGGTGGGTGGGGGGGCAGGTCTTCTGAGCAGCCAGCTCTTCAGGCAGCTTCACCACTGGGGCACAGAATCAGGCAGCCAGTCCTGGAGCTCCCCAAACTCTCAGACACTGGCCAAGGAAATGTCCCTCACTTGTAGGCCATTCGTGCTTTTAAATATTTTTTTCATCTTAAATTTATATATATAACGCATGCCATGCCATGGTACCAAAGAAGAGAGAGAAGGTGCCAAAGGGTATATAATGACAGCCAGTGCTCCCCTCCCTGGAACATCTGTTAGCATTTTCTTTTGTGTCTTTCCAGAGGTAATCCATGTATGTACAAGCCAGAACTTGTGTGTCTATTTGAATGAACAAAGAAGCTAGTGTATACATATTCCTCTAAACCATTTCTCTTTTTCATCTAATAGTATAGCTTGGAGATCTCTCTGTGATTTGTATTGGTTGCCTTGTTCCCAATACATGGAGCGCCTTCATTTGCTTAGCCATCTAAAGGTAGAAGTGTAGATTGTTTTCACTTATTTGTTATAATCAGTATTGCATCGAGTATCCTTATGTGTGTATGGACCATTTTATATCCAGGGCGATATATCTATAGAAGTAAATTGTTGGATTGAAGGAAATATGCATTTGTAATTTGGATGGATATTGCCTGTCTATGCTCATTAATCAGTGATAGAGTGTGTCACTGAATCTCACAAAACTCTGTTGTTTTATGGGTCTTACTCTTTGGATCAGTGGACTAAAGGGCAGGGCCTGGCCAAGAGGAGAAACTTGGGCTGGGGCTCAGATGCAGCAGGTAGAGCAGGCTGTTCTCTGAGCTCACCCTTGTCCATCCCCATGCAGTCTCTGCAGCACTTCTCTGCCCCTTTCCTTTTCCCTTAGCATCAGTTTCTGGTATGTGTGTTGATGAATGCATGCCCGCGTGTTTCATTACTTTCTGTGACTGTCAACACCCAGAAGGCAGGGTCATGTCTAGATGAATTTGTGTAGCATCGAATATCAAAACCAAGAGTGAACTGGCACACTTTGTGCTTCTGGTGGTGACATTTTATTCTTATTTTTAAAACCCACATACTTAAAATGATGCCAAAGGAAATTGACCTCTCATACTTCTATCATCTTAACACTATTATCTTCATTTCTCTGTGTTGCCTTCTGTTTATTTTAGGCATGTTTTTAACAAAGTGCTAATCCAAAACATATACACTTTTGTCTTCTGTTATTTTTTTACTATTATCTCATACTTCTTTCATGTTGACACATAATCTTTATATATCTCTTATTGTAAAATGTATTGAATATAATCAATGCATTATAATGAACTGGTCTATTGTTAGACATCTCCAACTTTTAACATACATTATACATTAACATTATATAATGTAGTGAACATTTTTGTTCAGAATCCTTTTATTCATCTTTAAAGTTATTTTTCTTAGAATAAGTAGCCAAGGAGCAGATGGTTCATATACTTTTTTAATGGCTCCTGAGACATAACCCCAAATTACATTCTAAAAGAATTGCAGTTGTATCAGCAGTGTATCACTGCACCAGTTCCCGCTCACACTGCCTCTTCACCTAGTGTCTTTTATCTTTTCATTGTTATTACTGTTGATTCAGTAGAGTCAAAACAGTACCTCATTATTTGGGTACATTTTTTTTTTTAAACCATAAATGAGAGTGTAGTATTTCCTGAGAAATATAATTAGCCACGTTGAGCTTTGGACCTTTTTCCTTTGTTGAGTGCAATCGCCTCCTTGTTCCCAGTTTGTAAATATGGGGAGAGAAAGAGCTTTCTCTGGTGTTTGGAAGCATTTGTGAAGCACCTGAGCATGTGTGCTAGGTGGGGCCTGAGTGTAGAATGAAGTAAGCTGAGGAGATAGGGTGCCTGCCTAGGGCCAGACACCCAGAGAAAAGTCTGATAAAAACAGATGTGAAATACCTGCAGACCTACTTGGCTCTGCTGAGTGCTGTACAGCCAGGTGACCTGGATGACCCAGTGTGGCCTGGTCAGAAAAGAACTCACTTTGCGAGTGGTTTTACTGCAATGTCCTTCCCAGATACTTTTTCCCTCAAAGCTTCCATCATGAGGACTCCCTACTTAGCGGGGCCAGAGAGTGATATGTGGCTCTTTCTGCCCAAGCTGGGGTATTGCCCTTCTCCCTGAGACCCTGGGGATGAAGCAGGTTTCCCTGGGAAAACCATCCTAGGGTTCAAGTTCAGAGGTCGGTAAACTATAGTCTTCTGCCTGTTTTTATATGGCTTGTGAGCTATGAATGGTTTTTACATTTTTAAACTATTAAGAAGAAAATCAAAAGAAGAATATTTTATAATGTGAAAATTATTTGAAATTCAAATCTCAGTGTCCAGAACAAAAATTGGTACACAGCCACACTTATTCACTCACAGATCATCTGTGGTAGCTTTCATTGGACAACTGAGAGTTGAATACTTGGGACAGAGACCATGTAGCCCTTAAGTACCTAAGATATTTACTGTTTGGCAGTTTGTAGAACTAGTTTGCCGACCCCTGATCCACTAAGAATTTCTCCTAAGGAAAGGGCAGGGTAAAGGAAGGGTGGAGGGGATGTTGCTGACTCATTTCTGGGCTGCCCCAGACAAGTGGAGGCCACAGGCAGGGCTTTGGGGCACCATTCCAAGTCCCCTTCGGGCGCTGTCTCCTCCCCTCCCCCACCCCCAGGCAGAAGCCTCCTGATGCCCTTTGAAGACCGCGGAGACCTGGAGCCCCTGGAGCTGGTGTGGGCCAAGTGCCGAGGCTACCCCTCCTACCCTGCCTTGGTGAGTCTGCCCCAGACACCACCCACCTACCTCCACCTGTTGCCTTGCCTTGGGGGCTTATCTGAGTGGGTCAAGCCAGCAGAGTGTGGTGGGAGTCAGGGTGCCTTTAACTGTAGAGGGGAGCGGAGTTTTACCCCTGCCTGGATGGGGCAGGCCAGTAAGACTTCCAGCTGGGAGCATATGAAATAGGTTAAGCATAGGCAGACAGAAATTAGGGTTCTTAGAGTTTTGATAGCATTTATTTATTTACTTATGCATATGTGTTGGAATTTGAGTCCAGGGATCAAAATGTGTGATGCCAAAGCCCTTGTTCTGAGCCATTGAGTTCAAAATCATCCACAGTCCTGTATTCAGGGATAAATTGGTGTATACCTCACTCAGCCTTTTTTTAAATGCATAAATATGCATATATACGAAAGCATACTGTTTTTAACCTCCCTTTCACTTAAAAAGCATACTATGAATATGCAGCTCTTATGCCATTAAACATTCTTCATCAGCATCACTTTTAATGACTGCATCATCTTCAGTTGTTTTCATGTACCATATTTTAATCAGTCCCTAGTTGGACATTTAGATTGTTTGAATTTTTCACCATGATAAACAGTTGGCAATAGAGATCACTGTATCTTTACTTTTCTGTGTATCCTTGTTATTTCTTTACAATGAATTCTGAGGAATGCCTTCCTGGGGCAAAGTCTGTACAATTCTTGTACAAGTTCCCAAGTTGCCTGAATATGAGTTCCAGTTTATATTTCCACCAACAGTAGCTAAAATTTCCATTTCTTCCATAGTACAGTAGCTAAGAATTCCATTTTTACCGCCTTGAGTCTTATTTCTTAGAGCTCTTTCTCAGTTGGGGAGGAAAAGTCCACCTGGTTCTGGAAGATACCACTGATCCTAAACCTTTGGGCCGTGTCAGAATCATTTGGGGGTGGGGAGGATTTTAAAACAGCACATACACTGAGTCAACTCCACCTTACAACCGCCAAATTAGACTCTCTTAAACCCAGACTGAGGCATGGATAATTTTTTCAAAAACTTCCTGAGTGCTCTGTAGCCAGGATGGGAGCCACCTGCTAGTCTCTCATATGCACACATCTCTGGGCTTTTGCTTCCCCAAGCCCTTTACTATCTGTGCTTCTTTGGAGCCTAACAACAGCATCTTAAGATAAAGAGGGCAGGAACACAATTCTGTTTGGACAGATAAGGAGACTGTATCTCAAAGAGGTTATACAGTTTGCTGCAGCCATAATGGGAACCCGCCTTACCTACCTCATTCTCTCCTAGTAGTGGCAGCTGGGAAGATCCACCCTGTGTCCCGCAGCTGTACACATTGGACCAGGGGCTGCCGATTTCACAAGGCTAGGGCCCTGCCAGCTGTGAGACTGTAGGACCCCCCCGCCCCACTCCCAGCTTAAGTCATTAAGGAAATGATTTATTTAGGCTGTGCAGGTTTGGTGGTTTTTTGTTTTAAGCCTCACATGCAAAAGACCTAGTCCCAAACTAGTCGTTTAAAAAGAAATTCAGCCACCACCTGAACACAACCTGTGTTTTTATTTTGGTGCATGCTTTCCCAGTCTTTCTCCTGTGCACATTTCAGTACATATTTGCATATTATATTGTACTTTAATCTTATTTTAATTCCTTGTCTTTTATACAAATGTGTTTTGTTTTTTTTTTAGTGTGCTAAAATGTAGAAGTTTTGGGAAAACAGAAAAAAAGCAACATAAACCCCACCATTCTAACATGTTGCTCTTAAATATTTTATATACTTTTATTTGTTGTTTACTTATTGTAGTTGTGATAATAGAGAAGGTACACTTTATTGTATAATGTTAAATTTTATCACAAGCTTTGTTTCCATCTTGTTTTACATCTGTATAGCATTCATTGAGTGAATGGACCATTATTTATTATTTTGGGACATAAAAGCTATTCTCAGATGGCAGGCTTACCTACTTTGCTTTTGCCCTCAAAAAGTTTTTCACAATCTATTCTCAGGAACCAGCATGCCATAGTAGCCCCACTGCCTCCTTTGGTAATTGAGGAAGCTTAGAAGGGCTTGTATAGTTGTTCTTATTAGGACCCTTAGCTTCAGTTCCAGAAGGGACTCATGCGGGGAGGTAGACTTTTGACCAAATTACACAGCTGGCGGGTGGGGTAGAGGTGGTTCTTCCTTGGAGTAAACTCTTAAACAGAGCACCTACTTTCAGCTGCTTATCTTGAAAGGGATGTGGGGAAGTTGGCAGACACCCAAAGGTAAATAATGAGAGCAATTTATTATGAAGAAGAGGCCCCTGGGACATGGTATAGGAATTAAGATTACTCTGTCTCTAGAGAAGACTGCTTCCTCAATAAGTTTCCAAGTCTCTCTGGCCTTTGTGCGCAGAGACCATCAGCTCACTCCTCTGGAAATGGGCTGTGCAGGAGGCTGCTGGCAGCAGAGGCCCAGGCCTTGTCCAGGTATCTGGTTGTCGTCCCAGCCATGGCTTCAGCCAACTACATCTACTTGCTTGGTCTTTTTGTCTGTCAGGTAACACTTTTCAGACCTCCCAGCATCAGCAAGAGATTGAAATGAGATGATGTGTAAATAATTAGAAGCTTTGGAAACTTTGAGAGTGCTCCATAGGCCTAGAAAATTATTGTTTTATTGACGCTGCCGGGCATTTTGCTGTGCACCTGCTCTGAGTTAGGCCGGGGGTGCTAGGTGCTGGAAACAAACCCCGAACGAGGCAGGCCCAGCCCCTGCACCTCTGGTGCTTCTGCCTCAAGGATTAGTTCCTCCAGTGGTCCTTGTTTCCAACAATCTCATTCTCCCTTCTCCACTGACCCTCCAAGCTCAGTCTTCTACCTGTACACTGAACCTCTTCTGATTTTATCGTGGAAGTGTGATGTGTATCTGACCCTTACCTCAGGATGGGTTATAGTTGGGCAAGAAGGTATTGGATGGGCTAGGGATAGAGCTCAGTTGGTGGAGTGCTTGCCTTGCATGCATAACGCCCTGGGTTCAATCCCCAGCACCGCAAAAAAAAAAAAAAAAAGATGTTGGGTGACCAGGTTCTTTTCCATAGAACTGAAAGGATGTCCTACTTGCTAATACTGAGCCTTTTTGGTAGCCATGGTGCTAGGCAATTTCCTTAAGCATTCGAGGTGAATTACAAAGGTTCTAAAGGGAAATTGAGGGGGGAAATGACCTCTACTCTTACCTTGTAAAGGACATTGGGAAGAAGGGGTTTACCTACCTGGTCAGGACATCAAAGATACCCCATTCAGTACCATCCCTGCATGAACTTCCCATTTCTTGTTTCAACTCCAAGGCCTGATAGTCCATAAAACAAGTTCTGTCATCAGGATTGATTGGGCAGAGCTGGAGGATTAGACAGAGTCATGGTTTCTGTTTTGAAGTGTTGCAGGTCATGGATGACACCGGCCTCTCCATTCCTCAGTTGTGGGCAGAGCTGAGCCCTTGCATGGCTTAGGTATAGGGTGTTTTGGCAACTGGTCCTGCACCAGGGGTTCCTGTTCAACCTATCCTTCCCCACTGAGTGCCCATTTTCTTTTCTGCCTCCAGATCATCGATCCCAAGATGCCCCGGGAGGGTCTCCTGCACAATGGTGTCCCCATCCCTGTCCCCCCGCTGGACGTGCTGAAGCTGGGAGAGCAGAAACAGGCAGAGGCTGGAGAGAAGCTCTTCCTTGTCCTCTTCTTTGACAACAAGCGCACCTGGTGAGTGATGGCACCACTTGGGGCCATCAGGTGAAGGGAGAGGCGTTACCTACCAGCAGCTGTCCTGTATTGCTGTGTTAATGATAACTGGCTACTAGTATTAGTAGTAACTGAGGGGGTCACAGATGGGACTCTCTGGGAAGCACTCCGAGGTGAAGCTTTGCATTAGGAGGCAGGCTATAGAGAGAGCTGTGGGGTGAGGGGCACAGCACTGGGCAGAGGAAGAAGTCAAAGTGCAAAAACCTTGAAATGGAGGCCTCAGCTCATCCTCTGAGGAGCTTGGGAGGGCTGTTGGGAATTGGCACTGTGTCTTTGTACCTTCATGCCAATTTGTCCCTGAATGCCAGCTGTCCCTGGAGAGGGCATGACCTTGGGCCAGGCAGCTCCCTTGGTGGATGGTTCCTGGAGAGAGAGACTCAGCTGAGAGCCTGTCGGCTGCTAGCACTCCCTGCAGCTGTGGGAACACGCATCTCCATCCTGGAGAACATCTGGGTGATGTGAACCCTCCACAAGGGAATCACTTGCCATGGTTTATGAACACCTTAAGGTTCTTCTTAACACTAGCAGGAGAGTGTTGTCACCTCTGCTTTTGTAAAACAAGGAGGTGGAACTGGTTGGTAAAAATAATGATAGCAATAGCTGCTGTTTATTGAGTGCTTACTCCATGTTCTTATGCTAATTGCTTTACAAACATGATCTGGTTTATTCTCATTTAAATCCCAGTCCCCTCACAATTCATTTTTTTATATGAGGAGGCTGAGACTCAGACAATACCCCTGCTGGGCATGTTGTCTCACACCTGTAATACCAGTGACTCCGGGGGCTGAGGCAGGAAGATTGCACGTTCAAAGCCAGTTTCGGCAACTTAGTGATGCCCTAAGCAACTTGGCGAGACCCTGTCTCTAAGATATAAAAAAGGCTGGGAATGCTGAGCGCGGTGGCACACACCTGTAATCCCATGGCTTAGGAGGCTGAGGCAGGAGAATCGTAAGTTCAAAACCAGCCTTAGCAAAAGCTAAGCACTAAGCAAACTCAGTGAGATCTATCTCTAAATAAAATACAAAATAGTTCTGGGGGTGTGGCTCAGTGGTTGAGTGCCTCTGAGTTCAAACCTTGGTACCTGCCCCCCCACACACACAAAAAAAGAACTGGGGATGTGGCTCAGTGGTTAAGTGCCCTGGGTTCAATCCCTAGTACCAAAAAATAAAAGACACCTTGACCAGAACTGACATAGAAACCAAGATCTGAAGGCTGTGCTCTCAGCCACACATTAGATCCAACTAGGGAAGTGGGGATGGGGGTAGGGGGATAACACACACACACACATAAACACAATGTAGACACCAAGGAGGTCCATAAATTCCTGGCATTGCCTCTACTTCCTAACCACAGCTCCATTTCCTAGCCATAACTCCCTAATTCCCCAAAGCATGTGAGGATCAAAGTCCTCCAGGGTCACTCAGCCTGCCCTCTGGGACAGCAGATGGGCCTCTAATGGCTCTAGGGCCCTGACAACCCTCAGAGCAGAGTGAGGGCCCAGGGAAGGACCTGGCTGCCAAACAGATCCTATGCCCTCCTCCCCACCCCTGCATACTTGCTGCCCTGTCCCACCTGGTTCTTGGTGGCTCTTGCATGAATTTGTACCAATCTAACCTACTCTGCCCTGTAACCTCTCTCCAGCCTTGCCTGTTCTGGGCAAGTGGGCCCAGAGGAGCCCCTGGACCCATTACAGTCCAGCTTTTTAACTGTGCTTGTATTTCAGGCAGTGGCTTCCAAGGCACAAAGTTCTTCCCTTGGGTGTAGAAGATACTGTGGACAAGCTCAAGATGCTGGAAGGCCGCAAGACCAGCATCCGCAAGTCAGTGCAGGTGGCCTATGACCGTGCAATGATCCACCTGAGCCGAGTCCGGGGACCCCACTCCTTCGTCACCTCCAGCTACCTGTAAGGATGAGGCTGGGTTTGCTTCTGGCTGCCCTGCCTGCCTCCGTCCCATGGGGCACAGAGAAGCCTCTTCTGCCCAGCCAGATGTATGGCCGGCAGTTCCCACTCATGGCAGGCCAGGGATTGGACTGTGTCCTCACTTAGGGCAAGGCCTCAGTTTTGACCAATAACATGGTTTCCCTGGAGGGCCTGCTGTGTGCCAAAAACTCCCACCTGAGGTCCATCAGGGCCATTCCACTGAAGAACCACTTAGAAGTAGAAACAGCTGTGGGGCTTGGGCCCAACAAGGAGATGGACCTGGCCCAGAAGGCGAGAGGTGCTAGGCTCCTTCTCAAGGGGCTGCCTGGCTCCTCCAGCCCCTTCCCAGCTAACTACACCTCAGGGCAGGCGAGGTTCTGACACTGATCCCAGAGATGCTGTGGATGCGCCAGGGTCCCTTGGGGAATCCCACTGAGCTCCCCTTCTCCCCCTCGCCAACCCATTCTCAACCTATCTTGTCTTCACCCTCTTTCCCTGTTCCTTTCCTTCCTTTCTCTCTTGTGCCAAACTGACAGAAACATCACCAAACTTGTCTTTTTCTTTAAAGTCTCATTCCCTTCCTGGCCGGCTGCTATGCTGGGTGGATGTCTCTGCCAGGCCCCTCAGGGTCCAGGCAGGGGCCAGCCCACCCGTGAGAACCCCACCCACCAGCACACCTCCCCATCCCACTGACCTCTGCTGCTGCTAATAGGGCTGAGCCTGGCCATCTGAGCATGCCCCAGGGTGAAGTGGCCCTCTTACCCTCTCCCTGTCTTGCTGTGTCATGGGCCCAGGCTGGAGTGGGCCCCTATCAGCAGACCAGGCTGATTGTGAGAGTATCCATCTGTCCCCTGAGATGCCATGGGCAGTTGGGATGGAGCGGTGCCCATCAGCTGGGTGTGCCCTCTCCCTCCTCCCCTCTCATGGGCTTTTTTGTTCTGTAACTGCAGCCTTAAAGCTCTCCACCACCGTGGACAGCATGGCGCTGCCTTCGCACATCCCCCTGCCTGCACTCTGCCCCATGGTTCTGCCCCATGGCTCTGCTGCTCCCTCCTCCCAAACCAGGGAACATAGCCCTTGAATTTCATCCCCTGTCTCCTTCCCTCTTTCTCTTCAACCTCCTCTCCACCACCTTCCCAAAAAATGGAAGGGAAAAAACAATACAAAACTGTGAATGGGGAATGCTGACTGACAAACCAACGCAGCTTTCAGAGGCTTCTATGTTTGTTCTCTGGACATTTCTTTTTTCCTCCTCTTAAACACCAAAGTCGCAGGCCAGCTTGCAGGCCACTGACCGCCATGTTGATTTTTAACTTGACGTTCTTTTTAATTGTTTTAAATTTTTCATAGGGGAGTTTTGGACAAAACAAAGTCACTGGGGAGATCACTGCCATTTGTACACACTCAACTTTTTAAAAATACAGCCAACCACACACTGACTTCTTATACATTTGGGACATGAGCCAGAGTTTAAAAGGGAACCAACTAAACTCAATAACATAAAGGATGGGATTTTGGATTTTGTACAATAAAAACAAAAAAACAAAAAACAATTCAGCATATGGCTAGGGAAGGACATGGTGTATATAATTGTAAAATACTGTTCTAAATTATTCAGGCCTATACTGTCCATTACTGGAGTCCTCCATTGTGTGGCCACACAGTGTGGTTTATTTAAAGGAGCCTACGCGTCCCCTCTCCCCGGGTAGTTGGTCAACTGTGGACTCTGTGACCTTTGTCTAAACCTGTGTTGTAAGATCTTGGAGCTCTCTCCCCACTCCCCCACTCCATGTCTGTCTCTCTCTTCTCTTCCCCTAGCACTTTCTTTTCTTAGTCTATTTTTCAACCTCTGAATCCTTCAGTCTCTCTCTGAGTCTCATTTTTAAAAATGCTCTTTTAGAACGCGAAACGGCTCAGATCCTGCTGTGGCATGGGGCCTGTGTGTCTCTGTCGCGTCTGCTGTGAAGCACATGATGCTCTATTTATTGTAGAAAGTGACTTTATTTGCTTTCTAGAATTGTTTATAACAGATGGTATAAGAGAGGTAATAAACAGAGAAAATCTATGCCTGTAAAGAATACAAAAGTTAATTTTACCTACTATAATATGACTGTCGGAAACTTATTTTCTCTCTGAGAAATAAATGTTCTAATGGGCAGCAATTGCTGTGTTTGATGTGGTCAGTGGGGGCCCCTCTTCCTAAGACCTACTCAGTTGCTCCTCAGAAGGCCAGAGCCCTTAAGAATGGGGGTTGTCTGGCTGTTGCAGGCCCCTGGCTGGAGAGAGCTCTGTCTCTTGAACCTTTGGGTAGGCATGAAGATGGGTGCTGACCTTGTTTCCCTCCCAGATAGTGCCACCTGGGAGCCACGGAAGGGCCAGCCCACCTTCCTATACCTCAGATTCTCTGTGGCCATGTTCCTGTAGGAGCTCTGCTCCTCTTCAGTGGGAGGAGTGGCCATCCGGACACCCACAGCACCTCAAGAGTTTTAAGACGCTCTCTCCTTTTGCCATTATTGCTGGTCTGTTCTATAGATGGGCAGCTGACCAGGCAGAGCCCAGCTCTTCTTAGATTTGGAAGGGATCCTTGAACCTGCCTTGCCCCCAATTCACAGAAACAAGGAACAAGGCCAGCAGGAGTGAAAGGCTTGACCAAGGTCCACGAGCTAAGGAATGGTGGCAGAGTCCTGGGAGGAGGATCTGGCCAGAGCGCCCCGTGGGCTCCACGGCATTTCAAGGTTGCAGTGGCCTCTTGTATTCCATGCTCCCCATTCTTGGTGGTTGTGGCCTCAGCCTTTCTGGAAAGGGCATTGAGAAGAACGGAAGCAGCAGGAGGATTCCCAGGAACAAACTGCTTGGTTGTTGGGCCTCAAATAGCTTTTCCCATCCCACCGCCTCTCTGGGCCTGCCCAGCTCCTGTGCCTGTCTAGTGTGGCAGAGGACATGGGTCTCCTGACTATCTTCTACCCAGGCCTGTGACATTCTTGATATTGAGGTTACTAATGTGTGAAAGTCAGTTCAGCTTAACACTAAAGAGGTTCCTCCTTTGTGCTGATGATCCTTGTGTTGCAAAGAGCCTGGGTCTCAAGGTTCTCACAACCTGATGATAAGACATCACAGAAATCTCTGAACGAGGCCAGTACCAGAGTCCCAGAAGCCTGGAGAAGTTTGGGAGACTTTTTTGGTTGGAGAATAATGAAACTTTCAGAAGAAATAAGCAATTCAAGCCTTGAAAAATTGTCAAAAAGTCCTTATTTATGAATTGAATTTTGAATTATGAAATAGTGTAATGAAATTATGAAGCCTATAAAATATTTTAGAAATAAGGAAAAATGGCCAAGTGGGTGGGATTTAATAGGCACACCTGAAGATAGATGAAGCAACTTGTCCTGGCTAAGGAAGGAATTGTGCATATACTGACTAGTGACCGACTAAAACCCCTTTTGACTGGAAGCCAATAAGGTGGTGAGGCAGTGCATCAGGCTTAAAAACCCTGTCACTCACTGGCTGTGTGACCTCAAGCATGACAGTCAACATCTCTGAGCCTCTCTGAGACTGGTGTAGTGGAGGACCCCCAGGGCAAGGCATCAGTACACAGAAAGTGGCAGCATCCACTAAGGACTTGAACAGGGAAGAGATGATCAGAAAGGAAAAGAAACAGGTGTTTGAGACAGGGTTGCTGGTTAACTGTGGGGATCAGGGAGCCTGGGAAGTTGGAGGGTGCATTTTGCTGCCTATGGAGCTTCTGAGAAAAACCTCTAGTATGCAAGTGGGAGTTGGACCCGGAGTTCAAGAAAAGGAATAGATGACGAGGAGGTGGGCAGTTAGCAGAACGGCCAAGGAAAGAGGAGGTGACAAAAGACTTGAGGAAAGTCCCATGTGTATATAGAAGGCAGGGAGAGGATGGAGACAGCACCCTCAGAGGGCCTTGGTCCCCAGGGGTCCCTGTGGAGAATTGGCAAGCCCTAGGGATCATCCCACAGGTGGGGATGGGGGGAAGACAGCCAGGTGTGCTCAGCATCACAAGGCAAGAAAAGGCGGTGCCGGAGCAGAGCCCAGAACCCAGCACCACCTACTCCGCAGACCCACCCCTCAGAGCCTTCCAGGGGAACAAACATGTCCTTAGTAAGTTCTGTTCATGGTGTGATTGGACTTCATGGACTCAAGTCTAACACGGTGTTTAAACCTTGGAGCATGCAGCAGGGGAGGTCTGACTTGGAACAGAGAATCCTGTTTTCCTAAGAAGTTTAAAAACACCATGAAGCCGGGCGTGATGGTGCACACCTACACCTGTAACCCCAGCGACTTGGGCTGCTGGGGCAGGAGGACTGCAAGTTCAAGGCCAGCCTCAGCAACTTAGCGAGACCCTGAGCACCCTGTCTCAAAAAATAAAAAGGACTGGGGAATGTAGCTCAGTGGTAAAACTCCCTGGGTTCAATCCCTGGTACAGAAAAAAATCAAAAAATTAAAATATCACTAAAAGCATTTGCCAAAAAACCATGGTGGGGGTCGGGGGCTGAGATTGTGGCTCAGTGGTGGAGCACTTGTCTAGCATGTGTGAGGCCCTGGGTTTGATTCTCAGCACCACATATAAAAAAATAAAGTTCTATTGACAACGAAAAAAAATATTAAAAGAAAAAAACAACAACAAACATGGTTGGCTTGGCCACTTCCGTTACTGTTGGCCTTACCACTTGAGCGTGAGTTTGCCTCTCAGAAGGGCTTGCCTGACCTGGCTTGGCTCAGCCTTGACTGCCGGGCTATGCAAGAGGGTGCTGAGGGGGACATGGACAGTGAGGCCTTCATGAGCCCCGGGGCTGCAGGCCTCCATCAATGCCTGTGGACAAGCATCAATCATGCGCATCTCTGGTCCTGCCAACTGCAGCCAATCTGGCCTTTACCGGAGTCAAGAGCAGGGAATAGTTTCTTTAAAACAAGGGGTAGAAGTTTCTAAATGACTGCAGGGGCCAGGGAGGTGTGTGTGTGCTGGGCCAGAGCAACAGGGAACTGGCTCCATCTTGGCACTTGGGGTGTCCTGTTTGCCCTTCCCCTTCAAGGGCCTCAGCTGGTAATTGGAGTGGACAGGAAAAGAAAAAAAAAGAAAGTGCTAAGGAGAAAATAAGAACTATCCTCAGCAATAACCATTTTAACATGATTCCTGAGAGTCTCTTGTTTTCTCTAGGTGAGCATGTGTTTTAGTTTCTTGTACTTGGTGGCTGAGAAATCATCGGCCCCGTTCTCCGTATGACTAGGATGCGAGCCTCCCAGCCTCCTCTGCCCACAAACGCCTCCTCCTCACTGGCCTTCTACTAAAACTATACACCCCAGACACTGCCTGTCATTGTTTTCCTTCATTTTGTTAAAATACCGGAAGTCTCCATGGCATTGGAAATCAGACGGGTGCAACACATCTCTGTCCCAACAACTTTGTACATTTCCATGGGAATAAGTCCTAGACCAAATTATGCCCCATTTCCAAAAGTCCATGAACAAGGAGGCATCACAAGACCACATCATCCTCTGATTCAAGAAACTCTCAATCTGCCCTTTAGTACAGCCACCAGCATCAAGAATGGAAGGTCATTCTCAGGTGGACACGATGCTCTTCCGAGGGCAAGACCTGGGGCTTGAGTGGGTGGGTTGGGAGCAGGAGCAACTGAGCTCTAAACTTTGAATCTTTTTTTAGATGTAACTTTACCTTGAGTCCCATGAATTTGCACATGTGCAGGTCAAAATGCAGAATATTTCCAGGGCCCCAGAAGTTTCCTCATGGCCCTTCCCAGTCAGTACCCCTGCTCCAAAGGTGACCGCCTATTCTTGAACTTGGTGTAAATGGCATCACACAGAAAGCGCTGCTTGTGTCTAGCTTCTTCCATTCAGCATCATGTTTCTGAGCTCTCTCCTGTTTGGCCTGTAGCTATAGTTTGTTTTTTGCTATTTCTGAGCAGCATTTCATTGTTCAGACACCCTGCAGTCTGTCTGTGTGTTCTCCTGCTGACGGACACTGGGGTTTCCATTTGGGGGCTGTTAGGCCGGCACTGCTAGGAACGTTCTTGTATGTGTCTTTGGTGGACATAAGCACTTGTTTCCCCAGGAGTGGCATCGCCTAGCGGTGGGGCAGATTCATGTTTAGCGTTAGTCCATTCTGCCGGATTTCCATTGGTTGTTCGTTTTACACTCCCCAGTGACACAGGTCCGCAGCAGAGGCACAAGTCCAGGTGTTCCCCATCCATGTCATACACGGCTCCTCGCCCAGGGCATTTGCTCTGGATCTGCTTGTTGAATGGTTTCCACTGAGCTCCAGCAGGCAGCCATTCTTCTTCCTTTACAGTGCTACCCTGCTCCAGGGTGTTTTCAACTGGGGAACCCCCAACTGAAGGGACTGGTGGGGAGGGAAGCTGAGCGGGTGCAGTCTGCAGACGCATGTGCCCACCCGACTGTGCTGCCCTCTACCCTTGGCACCCACCTTGCACCATGGCATCTCTGCACTGGCTCGTTGCAAAGTGAGTCATGCTGAACGGTCCCTGGCTCAGAGTATACAGCCCTTCCCTGGCTCTCCTCCTCACCCCTGCCCACGGGGCTCCAAAGGACACCAGCCTCCAGCACTTCAGTCTACCCCCAGCACATCGTGTCCAAATCCTTCCTTGCCCACAGGCTGATGTCCCCAGTTCCACCATTAGCACTCCGTGCTTTTACCTCTCGAGGCCATGACCCACTGGCTCGACCCCGGTCAGAGTGGGTCCATTTCCCTTTAAAGGGTTGGTGACCTGGATGAACAAAGGCAACCGGAGCAGGTCTGCATGAGGCCATTGACAAGGACACTCAGACCTTGAGGGAGGATTAAAAGGAGAGGAGAAGGGCCCATGTGTCCTTGGCTGACCGTGTTCAGAATCAAGCAGGAGAAGGCGCAGAAGTCTCTGAAGTGACTTCAAAGGACTCACTCAGATCTCTGGTGGGGTGAAGGTCATTGGAGATAAGAATGCAGGTCAGGGGAAGAGACTGGGCAGCCTCATGAGGGAGTCAAGCTCTGGACACACAGGACTGTGGATCCAGGGTTGACTTGAGCAACGCTCTGAAGCTGGCCTTGTCCTCAGGCTCAAGAGTATCATCTAGGACTGGGGGCAGGGGTGGGTCCTCAGAGGCGGGTGAGGCCACAGGCTTTCCT